CACATACACACCTTCTGAATCTGGGACATGGGGCATCCCTGGGTCCATGGATTTTCTCCGTGAAGCCATCACAGATCTGCTCTCCAAAGTTCCATTCCCTGATGGTTTCTATAAGAAGACAAATAGCACAAAAGTTAATATAAGACAGACAGCTGTACTGGGTGCTCAAACGGCTACTCAGAAGGAGGAGAAGCATTAAGGGCGAACTCTCCGCCATCACTCACTTGTGCAGAAGTGTAAGGCACTTGCTGGTCCAAATATCCTTTCATCCTCCCCTCAGTCATGGGTGCGAGTTTCTCAAAGGCATGGGGGGCAGGTGACAGACCCACCAGGTAGCTGTAAAACAAAGAAAGAGGGGGGGAAATGCATCAATAGACTGAGGATTTTTAAATGCTACTAGTAGCAGGTTCCTAGCTGTGTGCAACCATTATCTACAAGAAGGGAATCTTAGATGGATCGCTAAGACACTGGTCCTTTTTGCTGACTCTCCTGTTATGCTTCCTGCTAGAATGCCAAAACTGAAAAAGTGCTGCTTCTTCTCCTTTTTTTTTTCCCCAGCCACCTCCAAAAGAAAAGCCCTTTAATCTGACACTTTCAGATCTGTTGGGATTACAACTCCCAACGTTTCCAGCCTGCATGAGCTTGAAGGTGAATCCAATCCATATCAGAGGGTGACTTAACAAAATGCTTGATGCAAGAGAGTGGATGTGTTGCCTAACCCCAAATCCACTTTCAGAACTCAGCCTTCTTGTCCCCCTTCTGTGTTCCTGCTGCTTCATCCTTCCCCGTCCCGCTTTCCTGGGTGCCTGGATTTTTTTTTTCATTTACTCCTTTTGCCCTGCAATTTCCTCTATACCTTCCTCAGCCTCTGCTTTGCCCATCCCTCTCGACAGGATTTTAAACTGTATCAACTCCTGCCCGATTTTCTCCTCTTTCATCTCTCTTCAGAAGTTCACGAAGCCCATCTTGATCATTCATTTCCCTATGCAGCTCTATCACGGAGTAAGTCCCATTTACCTCAGTGAGGCTTCGTTCCGATATGAGTAAGACTGGACTTTAAATATCCCCAGCTCAAGATTCTCCACTGTTTGTTTCTGCTGCCCCTTCCCCCACGGCTTCAACCTTTAGATCTTCTCATTCGCCTGTGTTTGCTACATAATGATTCCCTCTACAAAAGCGGCCGTGCTTCCCCAACACTCACTAGGCCTCATCGCTCTTTTAAATATTTTTCCTCCTCCCCCCCGCAACTTCTGCAAAGGTATGTGAAATTAAAAGAGTCCCATTTCCATGAAAACTTATCTTTTCCTCACCTCACTGCAGAGTGGAAACGCGGGGGTCAGTTCAGGTCTTCCCGGCTGGCCCCCACCTCAAAACAGCTGATTTCAGGCAAGAAGAATATACGGCTTCACGAAAAACAGAGCCGTGTAGAGTTGCTCCCGCCTTTAGCCCGCAGTCGTTTCCTCTTTCACAGAAACAGACTCTTTTCTGTTTCTCTTTGTTTCATTGACTTTGTGAATGGAAGAAGGGGGGGGGGAATTCCCTAGGCTCGCTGGGACACGCCCAACCAATCAAGGCTCAGCGTGGCCCTCATCCAGCCGGGATAAGGCGTGGCTTGAGTGCTTTGAGCCAATCAGCTCAAGGTGTTCCAAGATTCATTCAGTGTTGGAACTCTCATTCATAAAAAAAACAAGAGCGCCCAAAGTTCATTCATAAAAGGCTGCAGAGGGAGGGAACATGTCACGGGCCGTAGACTCGAAGCCTTGGCTTCAATCGAATCCGTTCCTAACTGGCCTGAAACTGGTTATGTAGCTACGTAAGTAAGGGTATAAGTATAGTTGTTTACCATCCGTTCTTATCCTCGCCACCAGCGCTGGGGGCAGGGAAGGCCTCTCGAGGCAAGAATAAAGTAGCTAATTTTCATGGGGTACGTTCTATCCTGAGTTTGTCTGAACATATCTATAAGCCGATTTTTTCCCCCTCCCTTTCTCCCTCCGGATTTAGAACTCCATTTTAGAAAATGGAGGAGGAGGAGAGAAGTTCTTGTAATAGCTGCAAAGGGATTTATTCTCTTTTTTAATGTATGTATTAAAATTAGTAAATGTAGTTATTTTATGAGCCTCTATTACTCTCTACACACACTTTTAAATGTGGAAAGAGAGACACCTGTTTGCTTAAAAGATACAGCTGCTGATCTTATTCAGAGGCATAAACATTAGGTTGGATCCAGATTTAGTTGATTAATCACGGCATACTTAAACTGCATTGCTTTCCATAAGTCTATGCCAGTGTTTCTCAGCCTCAGCAACTTTAAGCTGTGTGGACTTCAACTCCCAGAATTCCCCAGACAGCCATGCTGGGAGTTGAAGTCCACACAGCTTAAAGTTGCTGAGGCTGAGAAACACTGGTCTATGCCAAGGAATGAATCCATCCACCCAGTTGGCCCCAGTGCCTGCATTTTTCTGGAGGGCAGCAACATGCAAAGTCGTCATCTACCCATGCCCAGCTCACCAGGAAAGCAATCTCTACCCGTCTTTTCCTGCTGTGTGTTTCTGCCTGTCCCACACACTCCAACAAAGTGGTCACGCTCCTGATCCCTTCCCTGGAGCAATGCCATCTGACGGGATCTAGGAGGTATGTCTTGTCGGTAATGGCAGCTGCCCCTCCCTCCTCCCCATCCCCACCCCTGAGATTCAACTGGCCTGACCCCGTTAGCCTCCAAGAAGGCTTTGCAGACCCTCAGGCACCGGGACCAGCATGTTACATGAGTTCGTCCTGGGAAGTGGAGCACAAGTTGTTATGCCCTGTGTGATTTGTTCTTGTATCAGCGTTTTTGCTGGGATGTTGTGATTTGCTTTGATGGTTGTATGCTGCCCATAGTTGCATTTTTGTGAGTTGGGCAGCCATATAAACCTTTAAGTCAATAAATAGATAAATAAATGCAGCATTTTCTGCCTTGCAGTGGCCTGGCTTGCCCATTGTCGTTCATTTCATTTTAGGCCAGTGTTTCCCCTGCAATTAACTAATACAGGACAAAGCAATGATGCCTCCTGTTGACCGGTCACTGCCTTCAAAGGCCATTTCACCCTGAGCTCCTGAGTCGCATGTCCCCCCACACCCCCCAGCATACATCAGCAGCACTGCAAGGAAGCCACAAGGCAGTGGAAGGGGCTGCTGATGGAAGAGTGCAACCAGCAACCCCCTGGTGAAACTGGCAAGAGCAGCAGTGCTCTGAAGACACTGTGGGCAGCTTCACTGTGGGCTTCCTGGAATTTGGCACTCCATGGTAAAGCTGCCCATAGCACTCTGGGGTTGGGGGGTAATCTTGCCAGCAGATGATCACTTGTTCTCCTTGGCAGGATGCATAATAGGAGGCAGGAGTGTTACGAATGCACACTACATTGAGTTGAACAAAAATAAAGGGGAATAAAAATAAAACAAATAAACCTACCCCATGCTGGAACAGAATAGAATTCAGCAATGAGGACAGCATATAATATGCTAGCATAACAGCCCTTAGTCTCATCCTCTGTGAAATGACTTGTTTGGTAGGCTCCCATGTATGGAGTGTTTCCGCAGAAATCCAGTCCTTGGCTGGGAGGCAGCAAAACAAGGTAGACAATGTTAATTCTGCCATCTAGTGGTTGGTCAGGTTTTTGCAAACCCAATTAGGGTAGCCTTATAAATACAGGTAGTCCTCAGTTAACGATGGTAATTGGGACCAGAATTTCCATCACTAAGCAATGCGGGTTGTAAAATGGTGAAAAGACAGTGAAAGTCACCTGGGAGCGGCAGGGCTGTCAGAGCCAGAAGAGCTCAGGGCAGCCAAAAGGGCAGAGATGGAGGGAGTTAGGCAGGTGGAGGGAGTCAAACCAGTTGTAACTGTGGGCAGGCTGCCCAGTGCTCGAGTTTTGATCACATGACCATGGGGGCACTGCAACGGCCATAACTTTGGGGACTGGGCATAACTACCATTCGTTCAGTGCTACCATAACTTTGAACAGTTGCTGAATGAATGGTTGTTAACAGAGGACTACCTGGTAGTTGGGAAAAAATAGGAAAAAAATAGTAGAGATGGTAGGACTAGAGGAAAAACTGCCTTTACTGACTGAGATTATTTAGTTTTATTCTCATAAAGGCTTATTAAGTACCAAACTGGATGTAACATACAACCAATCAGTTGGATTCAGATATGGCCATCCTTCAAGGAAACCCTTTAAAATGATTAAATTGGTCTTAGCTTTCTTACTGTACTGATTTCAGTGGGACCATTCTGAGCTTGACTAAGTGTGAATCCAAACGACTAACTGGTTGGCATGGTTTTCGGTCCTGGTTTGGCTCTGCTTTGTTCTAGTCCACTCATGGCAAACTCTGGGATGCAGTGGTATCTAAAGGAGGCGGTGGGGGAGTCAGAGGGATGCAAGCAGCATCTCAGCATCGCAGTACAAGTTCTGCCTGTTTGCCCAACGCTTGCCACTCCTGCAGACACCACAGCTGGAGACCACAGCTGGACTGTGAGCCTGGCTGTGCCTTGGTTAAGAAGTTGCTGATGACTGCTGTGGGCTCTGCTGCTTTCTAATCTGAAAGCAGATCTTAGCAAGAAAGGAACTCACAGAGTGAATAATACTAATTAGGAGACCTTGCTACAGGGAATCTCATAAACACTCATGCCCACACAAGCTGCTGATCCCTTCCTCCTCTGCATGGTGAGGCCCTCCTGACCACAAAAAGGATTATGACTCAGAAAATGCATTTGGTATCACATACAGGCTTCATTGTGCAGCAAAAGCTCCTAGCCTTTTTTTACAAGAGTAAAACCACAGCTAACCATATGTCCCCCATTTAATGTGGAATGGCTTCAGCGAATGGCAAAATCTCTGCCACTCTGGAGCTGATCTCAGAAGCAAATTCAGGGTTGATCCTGGTTAGTACCTAAATGGGGATTGCCTATGGATTCCAGGGCAGTGGAGTAGCCTGGGAATGGAAGCAAAGAAAAATGCAGATAAAGGCAATTACAAACCACTTCTGTTCTGCTGCCAAGATAGCTTCAGGGAACAGGAGCTGAGCCCAACTTGCAAGCTGCTTTACCTTTTTTAATATGGAAAGGAAGAGGTATAGCAAGACCACTTGTTTTGTTTAGAATACCAAATACACAAATAAAATGTCATCCCATTTCCCCAATGGGAAAAAAGACCGTGACCCAAAAATAGCATTAAAATAAGCAGAAACCTATTTAAATCTAGAAAATAAATTGGGATTCATCTTTAAAAAAAAAAAAGCAGAAAGAGGCAGAGCTTGAGCAACCTCCCCAAGGGAGATTGTTCATAGTTATGGAGCCACTGCTGAAAAGGCCTATCTCTGTCCCTTTCCAACAGAATGTCTGCTAATGTAGAGGCCTTCATGTAGCTGTGACTCTGCAGCAATGATCCAGCATTCATGCTGACCCCTGCTTATTCCTACAATCTTTCCCAACCTGGTGTCCTCCTGATACATTTGGCTTCAACGTGCACCAGACCTAAAACAACATGGACTTACTCTCAGATGATGAGGATTGAAGTCCAATGTATCTGGAAGACACCTGTTTGGGAGAGAGAGCTGCAGGCTATTAATAGCCAGAGCAAGAGTTGTCTTCTCCAAGTTAACCCATAGATCCATCCATCCATCCAAGTTAACCCATAGATCCATCCATCCATCCACGTTAACCCATCCATCCATCTCAAAATGTACAGTGGCTACTGGTAGCTCTTCTGGCAAACAGTTTTCCCAACCGTGCCTGCAGTTTCTGGGAGTTCTTGGAAATTTTGCAGCTGTGGGCTGGACTTTTTTTTCAATATTATTTTAGCCAACAGCCTATTCGCTTAGTGGCACACCAGTATCATTCTGACATCATACAAATAGGCAAATTGCATGCAGGAAGGAAGCCATTAAACACTTAGCACTTTGAGAAATTAAATGCCATAACTTACAGTGCTGAAGTCTCTGCAAAACATTAGAATGCAGGAAAGCAATTATAAAGACTTATCTAAGGGTGGGTGATAGTTTTATTGTGATAGAGCAGGCTGTTAATTGATGCTATCTTGTCAGATTGAACTGGGGGCTCTGGCTGAGGAGCAATAAAGGGCCGTGGCTCAGGAAGCACTAAAACAGGGAAGGGCAGAATCTCTGCAGCTAGAAAGAGCAGTCAGAAAATAATTTACACCTTCAGAGGAATGGGGAACACCTTTAAAAAGAAAAGCACATGCTCTCAGATAGATCAGGCAGAAACAAGTCAAAACTTCCCATAGCAAACTCCTTTGCCTTTAAAAAGAGTCACATCCAAGGTACCATTCAGGTCTTTCCTCCATACATGGGTCACGTGAAATAATGCCACTGCCTCTGTACAAGTACAAAAATAATAATCATAATCCAGTGCCCCACAAATGCTACCCACAACCTCTCCTCCCATCTGCTATATATTTAGATGTGTTTTGCCACCACTTTGAAGAGGGTTTTTAATGA